CTTGCCCTCAGGCAGCTTGCCCTCAGGCAGCTTGCCCTCAGGCAGCTCACAGTGACCCGCAGATACAAACTCTACACAAAGTAAAGTCCATAGACATATAGGAAGTTATCTGTATTTGTAGCTACAAAGGTTCAGAGCCGGGAAGAGCACAGATGACCAGGGGGAATCAGGAATGGGAGTCCTGGAGAAGGGCTTTGAAGGAAGTTAGGGATTCTAAAAGGTCAAGCTGAGAAGGGAGGCCATTCCAAACATGGGGGAGGAGGAGCGCTAGGGCCATGTGCTAGAAGTAACAAGGAGGTTGGTCTGACTGGAACGTAGAGTACAAGAGTGGGAGTCTCGCCAAACACACATGGAGCGTTTGGCTGGAGCTGAGGGAAGCTGGCAGAACGGGGTTTCTTCAGCATGGAGGACCGGCTTCCTCACCTTTCTTAAAGAAATAGTCTTAGATCACAGGATGACTATCTATGCTACAGTGATGCTCGGGAGGGTTTTTCACAGCTTCTGGGAATTGTGTAGAATTCGGTGACAGTCTCACTGCTCTGGCTAACGGCATCATTTTCCCTTCAGTTATACTACCCGCAATCCAGCCACCAGCCAATGTTTATCTTGTAAAGATGGAAAAACAAGCAACTCATGATAGGTAGACCCTGGACTGATATAGATTGATTAGTATGCCTCTCTGCCAGGGTAGACCCTGGACTGATAGAGATTGATTAGTATAGCTCTCTGCAAGAGGCCAGGGATTTCCCTGCCTAAATTCACAGAACTTTTTAAGGTCACTGGAAAGCAAATGAAGCGTTAACATATTTTGAATGGGCACTCCTGTGCAAATGTCATTACCTTTGACTTGTAACCAGTAAGGAAAACAATGAATCCATCTGGAGGCATTTGGAAGACATCCAGGTTCTCAGAATATATTTTGATGATTTTTTTTAAAAGCAGAGAAATGTTGGTGAACAAGTTCTTACACGGTCAGAGGTTTGACTATTAGACTTAGATCACAACTAAGAGGATCATAAAACGTCGAGCTGGGACCTTAGTTGGAAAGGATCTTATCTCATCCAAACCCTGGTTTTATCGAGGAAGAAAATGATGCTCAGGATGGAAATGTCTTACCCAAGTTCTCAGAACTAGCTGATTGACCCATGGGAGCCTGGCCCGGTGAAGAGGGCTAGATGGAGAGGCAGATTGGGCAGAGTGTGAATAGGGGGTTTGCTACTCAAATGAGCAAGAGAGGACATTTCCCTAGGACTCAATTTCCTCATTCTTAAAAGGAGAGGCTTGGAGTAGCTGGTCTCTGACAGGTCCTTCCAGCACAAAATCCAGTTCTTTTGGCCCTTTCCATTGCACCACACAGCTTCTAGTCCTAATGATTCTGAAAGGCCACAAGCAGCCCTCAACATTTGGCTCAATGTATCTAACCATCTACAAATAGCACCTATACTGTCTTTGTATCTTATCACAGGGATGGGGAACCTGTGGAGCCACATGTGGCCTTGAGCCACAGGTTCCCCACCCCTGAATAAACCATCAGGTACTAACTACTCCGATGCTAGGAAAAATAGAGCTGTTTCTGAGACATTTGGTTTTTGTTGACAGCAGCATTTGGAGAGCCAGCATGGCTTGGTGGAGAGAATGCTGGATTTGACCTATCTTTGACACTCCCTAGCTGTGTGACCCTGGGCAACTCACATAACCTCTCTGAATTTCAATATCCTCTTTAGTAAAATGGGGCTAATGATACTTTTTGTTACAAGGCTGCTTTTGTGACCTTAGGAAATTGTTCTCTCTAAAGTTAGCATCGGTCTCTTAACGGCCAAACCTGATGATAAATTTCCCAATTTTTTATCTTCTTAACCTTTCTCTGCATTTGGCTGTTTCAGATGCTCATTTCTCTCAGGGTTCTTGGGACCCCACTTTCCTGGTTCTCCTTCTGCTTCTCTCATCACTTCTCAGATTTTTTTGCTGACTCATCAACCATGTCACATCGCCTAACTGTGGCTGTCCTTCAGGGCTCTGTCCTGGGCCTTCTCTTCTTTAGCTTCTCTCCTTGGTAACTTCATCTGTTCCCACAGGCTCAGAAATCAGCTCTGCAGATAAATCACAGATCTAGCTATCCAACCCCAGTCTTTCTTCTGAGCTTGAATAATGCATCACCAATTGCCTACTAGGCACTTTTTTTTTTTTTTTTGCTTAGGCAATCGGGGTTAAGTGACTTGCCCAGGGTCACACAGCTAGTAAGTGTCAAGTGTCTGAGGTCAGATTTGAACTCAGGTC